TCCCATGTTTTAAGATTTGGTGTGACGGTGGCCTCATGTGCTTACAAGAATAAGATTTTATGGGCAGTGAAGGAGGCAAAAGTGAAGAAAAGGGAAATAATGAAATGTGCTTGACATGCTAAGCTGCTTCCTCCCGCGGCCTAGAACAAGACAAGAAAACAGGAAGTTGAGGCTCTGATCTGGATTAATGGGAAGATGTTGCCTTGTGGCAGGCTTCTGCGGTTAGACCAAACATATGGCACTTATGAGTAACGTCTTACATATAAAAAGTGCTGTCGTTGTAAAGTTCTCTTGTGATGTAAGTAATGTGAAGAAAGGTTGCAGCATCTGGGATTTCTGAGTTTAATATGAACTGGTGGTGACCGACTAGGAGCAAGTCCTTGGGATCACAGTAGGGGTCATAGGAGAACAGGATGATAGACTAGATAGGCCATTGGCCTGATCCAGCAGGCCCAACTTGAGTTCTTAAGTCCTTTTGTTTATTTCTACATGCTTAGCAATTTTGCACGCATGCATATCCAGCTAAAATTCAAGCAATACACCCATGGCACACTCACCCTAGCAAATTTCAATGCCCTGCCTCTCTGCTGACCACCCTGGGACCAAGAACGAGAGGTGCATGGTTACTGTGCCTTGTGTGCTAAGAGGACCCCCATCGTGGCCAGTCAGTACCATGGTTTTCCCTATTGTTATCCAAATACGTTTTTTGCCTGCATCTTGGTGCCTATATCAGGGACAGTGGGAAACAGACATTGCCAGAGAGGCTATAGGCTATTCCGGGCAACTCAGTCAAAATAAGGACTGAGATCTAATGTGGTCTGCAGGGGACATTTGTATGTGGAAGGCAGAGTCGTTTCAAGAACAAGAGGACAATTATGGCTGTTAGAGGTGATTGTCTGCAAAGTGTTTCAAACATATTATAGGTGGGACCATTTCGCAGGGGCTTCTGTTCCCAGTCCCTGTGCATATGAGGGAGCGTGCATAAACGTCCCCCGTCCCTATTCTGCCCTCTACTGGGACAAAAAGGACCTGGGCCTTGGTGATCACATGTCAACTAGAAGAGCCTAAAATGGCCTGTATAATGCTACAAAGTTGAGAAAGTTAGAGTAAGGGCAAATGTTGCCCAGTGGAGACCATGCCCACATGCTATAAGCAGAAGGAAAAACAAAGCATGAGCAGAAGAGAGGTGGAAGTCCGATGGTGCGAGGTTGGGAGAATAAGGGGATGAGAAAGGATTTCATAGCCACAGGACCGTGCTTCTGTTAGAGCAACATGCGAGTTGTGAACCGGGGCGTTATCCTGCAGGAGGCGGACACCTTTGGCCAGCATACCATGCCTGAAACAGCCAAAGCAGACTGAGGAAGCAGCCAGAGAAATCAGAACAAGAAATATGCAACAGAGAGCAAGGTGCTTCAGGGAAGTACAGGAGCAGAAAGTGAGAGGGGAGTGGGGATTTTACTCAAACATGTGGTTTTTCTCGTAAAAGAGACGTTTCTGGGGGGGAAACTGAACCCTCTCACTTTTGGTCAGCATTAAAAATGTGCAAACTCACTGGGGAGAAAACAATCAAATTTGCCTATTCATTTCCGGAGGACTTGATCACCCCTACATGAGACACGGCAGCTGAATAGACAAAGAAAAAAGAAAAGTGCAGAAGAGTTGAAAGCAGAGCACACTTGAGAAATCTGATTTTGCGTCTCGCTCTAGAATGGCTTCTGTGTGCTTTTGAAAAGTGTGATAAAGGAAATTAGGAAAATTGTGGGGGTGATGGGAAGACTACCCTCTTTACAGGATAATGGGAAAGAAACTGCAGTCCTGGGCATAATTGCTGGGAATTGGGACCAACAGACACAATACATTGCTTCAGAGTAAACGCCCCTGCTGCCTATAAGTTGGCCCGCCCAGAGATTGTGCTTGTACCATAAAAGAAAAATCATTAGCAATTACCGTAGTGGCCCAAATATAAGCCACACCCGAATATAAGCTGCACCTTTAAAATTCAAAGAAGAAAAGACAATACCCGAATATAAGCCGTTCCCTTAAAATTTTGTAGGCACTCACACCCGTTCCGTTTTACCGTATGTCTGTTTCAGCAGCAATATCGTAAAAGCCAATTTTTGTAAGGTCACGAATTTAAGCCACACTTTAACTTTTCACGGTCAAAATTTGGGGGGAAAGTGTGGCTTATATTCGGGCCAATATGGTAGTTTTCATGAAATATTGCATGCTAAAATGGAACTACTAAAGTAAAACTTGGCTAAAAAAATAATACAGCCAACAGGAGAACAACAGTTGGCGCTAATATTCCCTACAATGTTATGCATAAGAGATGGGTGGGTAGCAATATGTCAAATGCCTTACAGGAGATGCTGAATTTTAGGTCCTTAGTAAGTATGATCATGTCATAAGTAAGTGGTAAAATTCATCAAAGGAGGGCTTATATGACAATGTGAAGACATCTGAACAGGTATGGGTAGAAGAAGAGGGGGATGTATTGAAAGGGTATATAGTGATACCTGCTTCACTTGTTGCAGCAGCCTAGTGCCAACCCTAACATTGAGGAATCCAAAACTGGGTCAATAAGATGTTGCTTTGTGGCAGCCTCTTGTAGTTACAGTCAGAACTGCTGACAGTAATGTCACTGTATGGTAGAGTTATCTAACCACAGCAAAGCTGTCTTGTCTAACCAGGTGTAATATTAAGGCAAATGAATATTGGCATGCAGTGATTTGTGATTTAAGGAACGTGTTTATTTTGGCTTGCTTAGCAGCTTTGCAGATTCTCAAAAATGGGACAGTGAAAGAAAAGCCTATGCTGCACATAATCCTATTACAGCTAAAAAGGATATAAAAGACCACCAGAGAAAGAGGAAGTTTGGCAGGATTAGACAGCTACAAAGGTGCCCACATTACTAGAAACCATGGCTAGCTTCTAGGCTCTGCCCCCCATGTTGATCAGGCTGCAGCAGGGCCTGAGCGGCCACGGGGTTACTGCAAACTGTGGGCTAAGAGATTGTACCAGATGCAACTGAGCTCTGCCCTCCACTGTCATCTAAACAGAATCAGTCTGTTCAACCAATAGTATTTGGCCACTTCTGGATTTACAGTTGCCGCTGTTTAAACAGACATCAGTTCTGCATAGCAGCTTCTGCAGCCCACTCTGCTGCTCGCCTGCCAGGCTTCTGTTTCCATTATTAAAACAAGACAAGTTGGTGTCTGCTTCTTGCTCTTTTACTTAGTCAGACTGCCACGTGCGCTTCTGCTGATCTGCCAGAACCAATCCCTGCTCTTGGGACATCCTGTACCAACAGGTTTAAACCTGCTCCTTTGCACTTGTGCCCGATGCCTGTTATATCAGCTCCTTCACCTGGCATCTCTCCTCTTTGGTCATGTTCCTTATGCCAACCTCTGTTTGTTAAGAAGCAGAGAGACTTAAGGCCGCCCACCCCTCACCAATACATGAATCCATTCTTAAAATTAAACCTCAGTTGCCTTAATCATCAGTGGTGGTCAAATGCCACAACTTCAGTTGGAAAACCCACAGCAAGGGTCAAGGTTTAGAAAGATGTGCCATGGGAGTGGGCTTGGCTACATATTAGAAGTATGTATAGCCAGACTCTCTGATCTCCAGAGCAAATGGCTACAACCATGGCACTGCAGCACTACTGCTCCTCTTTTATCAGGGACATCTTGCCGCTAGGTGGTTCCTTCCAAGGCAATGCCCACTCAGCTGCAGGCAGAGGCACAGATCAGCAAGATATTTCAGTGCAAATACCCTTCATATGGGACCCACGGTGCTCTTCTCGCAAGATCGCCTTTGAGGACGAGGCACAATCTATTATAATCCTATTGTTATTCAACAACCGCTTGCTCATATTCTCCCCTTTACTCCCTTGTTTGTAATATGCAGGTTGTAAACCTACAGGCAGGGGGCTCGGGTTTCTAATTATTGTTGAACAATGCAGTATGGATGATTAGTAATGATTAATGAATGCTAAATAAATCCCTATCTTCTTTTTTACTCAGTGCTGAAAGGAAAGAGCAATTCGCTACAAGAATTGCCAGACTAACAGGCTTTCACACATGCGTTATTGGTGTCGGCATAAATGGAACGTGCATCTGAGTAGCAGACTATTTTTTTACTTCTAACAGAATGTATGTTACAATGTGCAATTTAATATGACTCCCTGTCCACAGTTTTGCACAGCTGCCTCTACACTGACACTATGCTAATGCATGACTAGAGCTAATATTTGATGATAAACCTGTGGACAGGGCCCATGCCTTTGTGGTGGTGGTGTAGTTTTGCACAGAGTCTAGTCACTGTAGATGTTTTAAAAGTAATAAATAAATAAACAAACCACAAAAGCAAACATAAAACTAATGGTAGCATTTTGCAGTTCTTCCCCGCTCAGATTTTTGTATAAATCATCATCACATAACACACAAGAATGAACATGTCCAGATTCATATAAGTAGCAGGGAATCAAGTTTCAAACAGAAAACAGAGGTACATTTGAGCATCCCATTCTCTGCATGCCTCCTGTTTAGATGAATCTGCCAAAGACTTATTCTGTTGATATTTAAATATGGCTCACTGTAAGGAATGCGGACTTATGTCTCAGTTACATAAAAGCTGTTGCTATACTGCATGCATCGTGAGAACCTAGACATACAGTGTCATGTAGTTTATTTCCTAAGACTCTTCAAGATTTCATAATTAGAAATCAGGTAAAGGAACCTAAAACCACATCTTTGGGATATCTATTTTTTTAAAAAAAACCCATTAACATGCATGCAAGTTATTGATGCTGTTTCCAGAAATCAAGTAAACAGAGAATTTTTTATTTAGAAGTCCAATTGCCACAGGAAAGTAAGACAAAAAGCATTTACTATGAGGAAAACATTTTCACAGAATAATAAGCTTTTATGTCTCAGATCTGGATGATTTCTGAAATGACCTTAACTAAGTAAATCAATAACCAACGAAATAGACTTTACCAATGCAGTGAAGGTGGCAGCATATTACTCTTCAGTCATGTCTTCATCTTTCAGTTCATCTGTACAGAAATAAAACCATTCTTGGCTTATTGAAAGGCCTACAGTACTCAGAAGTATAAATGAAAAAAGCAGCTGGATGTTATTGCTGCCGTCAGCCCACTCTGGGCATTGCTGGCCACAGACTAGGCCACGGGTAATCAATACGGTGCCCTCCCAAAGTTGATGGAATATGACTCCCATCATCCCTGAACACTGAGAACACTGGCTATACTTATGGAAGTTTGAGTTCAAGACCTTGAGGACATCGCATTGACTATTCCTGGCCTAGGGTATTTGCCAACCAGATGCCAGTGAGAAGCCAGGAAACAAGACCAGAGCAGACTTTGGGATTCCAAGCAACAGGTGTCCAAAGGCATCCTGCCTCCAAAAGAGGTGGTAGAACATTGTGGCTAGTTGAAAGCCTTCTTCTTTGATAATTGGCCTGATCTTCTTTCAAAGCTATCAAAGTGATCGTCACTACTGCCTGGAGAAGCAAATAATTTAACTATGCACTGTGTGAAGAAGTGCTTTCTTTTGCCTATCCTGAATCTTCCAACATTCATCTTCAAGTATTAAGAGAAAGGAAGAAAAACTTATCTCCATCCACTTTTTCCATACCATGTATTATGCAAAATTCATCTGCTTTCTAGCTTGTATGTCTGGGTCGCTGTCACATAATTCCTTACAGTCTACTAAAAATGGCAAATCCCAAACATTTAATCATGATGACCACTAGATGGGTACAAAGATACTACATTATGAAAATTTGACATGTCTAGCTAAGCAATATTGCTGTATTCCAAGTAAATGTTTCATTTGATAGAATACTGGAGTTTGACCTAGGAAATCCTTGCTCGGCTATATTCTAACTTGGGAAAGTCAACTGCTGCTATATGAATAACCATAGCACAGGAGATGTTTCAGTCATCCTCTCATCATCCCTGACCATTGGTCATGCTGGTCCAACACCATCCCTAGATGTACTAGAGACATTAGGGAAGCAGAAAGGGTGCTAGACACTGATTTTTATTTTTATTTTTGGCAGTAACCACGTATTTACTGTAGCATCTAATCTGCCTGTTGCTCTATAGGGGCTTTGCCAAAATCTTGTGAGAATTCTATGTCTTCCATTTATTCTACTTTTCTTTGCCTGGATAGTTCAAGGTGGTACATAAAGTTAAAAAGACTCAACAATAAAATATGTTTAAATGCATTCTTCATTCAAGTGTCATTCAGCAGCAGAGGCTTCTGTTAGAAAAGTCAAAATGACTGATGAGTACTCAGAACACTTTGCCACAACGAAAGAGGAGCCTGGCCAATTTATACACATTAATTGACTTCTAAGGACTCCTGTGCATTACAGTGGTATGCTCAGAATAGAGAGACAATGTATCCCTACCCTTTTTCAATATTATTGGGCAACACAGGAAAACTTCCAGACACTAAACCAATAAAATTTTAAAATGATCTCTAACTAGAAACACCCATCACCTCTGTATGATTATTGAGCAATGCTACCAGTTCCTTTTTTAAAAAAATGCAGTCAGTTGACCTTTTCTGCAACCTTTTACACATTTTATCAACACAATGAACAAAAGAAACAGGTTTACATATTATTAAAGAGATAATTCATCTGTGTATATCCAACTTTATTGCCAGCTGACATAATCAATCATTATTTTGAGTGCTTTTCCTGAGAACTAATTTCACAGCTATTTATGTCAGTTCAAGAATGTCAGAAAACATTTTGAAATTTTGTGTTATTTCTGGCATCGTTTTGTGCCTTATGAAAGGGCTTTTTTGCCCTACCAGTGTAATCATAATACATTAGTGCATACCTTCGATGAGAACCTGCTTGGGTTTTTAAAATCACAATCAAAAGCCTATTCCAATGGTTTATTAAGAACCTCACCTCCTCTGGTTTTCAATGGTATGCTAGGAATGCTGACCTCTGTGGATGGCTCATTGTTCATGCTGATACAATAAAAAGGTTCATCAAGAAAAGAAGGTTTTTTCAGCCTGTCTGTGCTAAGGGCTATTGACATGAAGTAGTCCTCAGAGCTACTGGCATGCACAATCTCTTCCTCTTGGCTTTCTTGATTCTCATTTTCTTTTTTCTCTAACAGGTGAGATTCATCCAGTGCTCTGCTGAGATTACAGTCAGAAGTTCCCATCATTTCCTTTGAACGTGTACCATTATCTTGAGCATCCATCATTTCTGAGTTTGCCAGCTTTTCCACACTTTGGGCATCATCTGATGGAATGATGTCTTTAGCTGTGTTGCAACAGAGACTTGTTCGTTCAAGAAAGGATCCCTGAGATTTTGGCAAGGTAAGACTGTTTGCTCTTCTTGGGGTTTGCATACATTCTTCCAGAAGGGCATTAAGCTGCTCTTCTGAGAGACAAGGCAGTACATCTGGCTGGAAAAACAAGGGAAAAATTCTCCCTGTCAAAATATAACTATAAATAATGCCTTCATAAAACAGCTTGACGACAAACAGAAATAATGGAAGCATTGATCTCTGATGCCAAAGAGCATAAACCAGGCTCCAAAATGAAGGAAAAGTACCAGACAATGAACCAAGAATGTTTTAATATGATCTATAACTGGAAATACACCTCCCACCTGTGGATTAAAAAAATAATAATACCTGCAGCAACTTGCTACCAGCCTGAGCTGAAGAACTTTTGGGAAGCAACCGGTCACAGAATTAGACATAAATGTCCTATTGATAGTGTGAGGACATGACTGGTCTAATTGTAACAGCATCAATACCTTAGCCACAATAGAGCCAATATTTCCTAGCCCACCACACTGCAGCACTCACAATAGTCTTTAAGTGACATTTTAGAGGCCTAGTGAGAGCAGTGGCAGTGTAAGCTGCTATTCACCCAATCATACACTTGAGTACACGGCCACATGAAGTGAGGTCAATTTTTGATGCTGCTACTTACAGAGGGGCCACCGCAGCCATTTCCAACAACTGCAACATTGAAAAAGGAAAGTCATGGTAGCAGAAATGGCTGACCCTGTGCACTTGTAGTATCCTTCCTATTAAAGTTTCCAAATGCGGTTGTGAAGAATTGCATATTTGTGCAAAGATCCTAATATGAATGCTGAACATTGTAAGAATGGCCAATGCAGAGATGCCTGCATATGTGAGTGGAAAATATAGGGTCAAAACAAATACAATACCTTGTTACGCAGATGCAATAGTCACAACATATAGAGCACAACAGGGACGCGGGTGGCGCTGTGGGTAAAACCTCAGCGCCTAGGACTTGCCGATCGCATGGTCGGCGGTTCGAATCCCCGCGGCGGGGTGCGCTCCCGTCATTCGGTCCCAGCACCTGCCAACCTAGCAGTTCGAAAGCACCCCCGGGTGCAAGTAGATAAATAGGGACCGCTTACCAGCGGGAAGGTAAACGGCGTTCCGTGTGCTGCGCTGGCTCGCCAGATGCAGCTTGTCACGCTGGCCACGTGACCCAGAAGTGTCTCCGGACAGCGCTGGCTCCCGGCCTATAGAGTGAGATGAGCGCACAACCCTAGAGTCTGTCAAGACTGGCCCGTATGGGCAGGGGTACCTTTACCTTTACCTTATAGAGCACAACAGGCTGAATGGTAATGTTCATAACAAATTTTTTCCTGGTTACCTCCTAACATAAGAATCAAGTCCAGGATGTACACCATATACTATCCTTAAGCAAGGTATATAACCTATTTAATTAAATCCAGTGCAGATATATTTCTTCCTTTCTTAATACAATCTTGTTTGAATTCATATATTACACAGTCCTTGAATATGAAACAAGGAAATATCTGGAAACCTTGTTCTGCCCAACCCAGCTGCCTGAGCCAGCCAGCCTGTGTCTGCCACCAATGCTAGCCAACCTCATCAGCTGTATCGTCCATGACATTCCATGGACCTTTCCTTAATCACATTCGAGGACTGTGTAATATATGAATTCAAACAAGAATGTATAAAGAAAGGAAGAAATACATCTGCATTGGTTTTAATCTGCATTGGTAGATCTATTGGCTGTGCCTTTATCTGCCTAGGTACCCATTTTATTCTTTATGTTCAAAGTGGCTAACAATCTGGCTTAAAAAGGAATAAACACATATGCTTTAATAAAATCCACTAAGTCTTACAATATAAGCAATATATAAAAGCAGCATCAATAAATCAACTAAACAATCCAACGTAGCAATGATCAAAACTCAATGGCTGGTCAATTTACAGATGGTTAATTTAATCATTGCTTTGGGATCAGCCTGCAACTTGAATTTGTTATCAGATGTAAAGCTTTTTAAAAAATTAACTAATAACAATAATACAGGCAAATAGGTTGGTTTGAAGTACCTGCTTAAACACCAGAAGATATGGAGTCTGACAGATCTCCCCATTTAGGACATTCCACATCATGCAGAAAAGGCCCTGTTTCTGACTAAGATACCAAAAGGAGGAAATACATATTTCATGCACCAATCAGATATTCCCTCTTGCCAGTGCTAAGAAGCAGCAGTCTGAGTTTTATAGCTTTGTAACTAATTCTTACGGCAAGCCAAAAGGGACACAATCCAGCCAAACGTTTTAATTTCCTTGGCTTCAATGGAAGACATTTATGCACATAGTGAACCATCACACTGAAATTGAGTCTTAACTTTAAGTTGGGCCATGCTCTCAGTAAGTGATGGACACATTTTAGTACACATTTGACCAATTAACTTATGGATCGACAGAAAACTCACACAGAAATACTGACTGCTCTTAAAGAGAGCAGAGGGCCTTCTCGGTAGTGGCACCCGCCCTGTGGAATGCCATCCCATCAGATGTCAAGGAAATAAACAACTGTCTGACTTTTAGAAGATATCTGAAGGAAGCCCTGCTTAGGGAAGTTTTTAATGTCTGATGTTTTATTCTGTTTTTAATCTGTTGGGAGCTGCCCAGAGTAGTTGGGGAAACCCAGCCAGATGGGCAGGGTATGTATGTATGTATGTATGTATGTATGTATAAATAAGTAAATAAATAAATATTATTATTATTATTATTATTTATTATTATTATTTTGCAGTCACAAAAATAAATACCGGTATGTTAAACAAACAAACAAAAAAGCCACTACTCCTTAATATACAGAAGTATTTCACTTCTTGAAATACCAGTATAAACATTGACCTCGTGTTTTATTATGAAAATAATACAATAAATTACTGTACATCTAGGGTTGCCACTTTTGAGTGTGAAGGCCTTTCAAAACCTTTGGATGGGCAAAAATTTAACAATATATTTGCCTTTCATGAAAATATTGTACTGCCAAGTACCTGTGAATTCCTTCTAGTAGCGCCAAGTGGGATGGCTTTAAGTTACCCATCATTTGTTCACTTTTCCAATAAAAAATAAAATTCCAGTTTTGGAAGAGTGTAGTGGCAATAGAGTCCATCATCAATTTAAGTTACCATATCTATCCTTACTCCAAGCAAATGTGCTTACGATTCGTATGTAATTCTCCAAAGTATAGTGTGTGGATTTTTCTCTTCTGTGTCCAGCTACAATTGATTATTCAGTAGATTTAGCCATAAAAGAACTCTTCAAACCTCCCTAAGGGCTTTCCTTTCTTCTCATATTTCTTGCTGGCGTCCTTATATAAACATTTCTTGTCAAGAAGTAAATCAGCTGAGGCAATCAGCACACAGGCTGACATTTGGACAAATAATTAAAAGATTGAGTTACGCTTGTGAGGGAATCTCTCTTTTTTTCATTTTAAACACTTGATAGTAGAAATGTATTGCAGCTATCCTAATGTTCAAGGGTTTAAGGGATGCTAAGGACCTGCTTAAATAATGTACCTGCTGTAGCATCGATATTGTTACTGAGGTGATGGATTCTTAGGTAAAGGTAAAGGTAAAAGGGTAAAGGGACCCCTGACCATTAGGTCCAGTCGCGGACGACTCTGGGGTTGCGGCGCTCATCTCGCTTTACTGGCCGAGGGAGCCGGCGTACAGCTTCCGGGTCATGTGGCCAGCATGACTAAGCCGCTTCTGGAAAACCAGAGCAGTGCACGGAAACGCCGTTTACCTTCCCGCCGGAGCGGTACCTATTTATCTACTTGCACTTTGACGTGCTTTCGAACTGCTAGGTTGGCAGGAGCTGGGACCGAGCAATGGGAGCTCACCACTCACTTCTCCTCACTTCTCCTGATGTCTGCCATATATACCTCCTGTGCTGTTCCAAATGGTTCCTCAACCCTCTTGAGCTGACTGGGAAGTAAGGAACAAGCAAAAATCACATCTCCTTTCCTTTCCACTCTCAGAAGCCTTGGTTGGGTCTAAGAGCTTTCCCTCTTACTTATTTTATTACATTTTTTCTTATGCCTTTCCATGTAAGGAGCTCAAGATGGCATACGTGTTTCTCTGCCACCCATTTAATACTCATAACAGCCCTTTGAGATAGGTTAGGCTGAGTCACAGTGATGGGCCAATGATCACCCAGCAGCATAGCTTAGAGAACATTTGACCCTGAGTTTCCCTAGTCCTAGTCTGACACTACACAAAACTTCCGCCATTTCAGTGTCAAGCACAGGCCTATCTGTTTGCCCGTGCTTTTTTAAAGGGTTAGAGCTGAATGTATTTGTACATGGCTTGGTTTAAAGCTGTGGCTTTGGCTTTAGCTGTTCCTATTGTTTCAATGAATTTATATTTTATTGTGTTGTTATATGATTAATTATATTTTATTGTGTGCCCAACTTTGGGAAGAAGCCTTAATAAATAAACTGAAATATTTAGTAAATATTACTGTTGTAAACGTTACTGTTGCAGGGGGTATTTGTTCTGTAGTCTGGGTCCTATTAGAATAGATAATGTGCTCCTTATTCTTCCTAATTTTTAGCAGGACAATGTCCCTATGTGTGCTACACTTTTTAATGCTGAGAGTGAGGGGGGGGGATTCATTGTCAGCTGTGTTGGGTGCTTCCTAATGATCTTTCCTGCAGGTTTCTCTTTATGTAAGTTGCAGCCAGCTAGCATGGTATTTCCCTGACCCCAGATGCCTTTTTCTACCTGAGGGTCTTTAAAGCTTAGCTGAATTCCTCAGCTGCATGAGTCTATAGGATAAATCCTGCTGCATGTGGTAGGAATGTGTACTTGTAATTACTTTCTGCACAAACCCTGTTGCGACTCAAAGGTTTCGAGCTCAAAGGTTTAGGGATTGTTTTCAGTGTCAGTACTGAAAAAGAGACAGGCAATCAGCAAAAATTAATATATGTTGCTTTTCCATGGCCCAGAACATTAGTATGATAGACACGCACCAAAAACAGATTCTGTCAAAAGTCCAGTCCTCAAAATGTGCCACCAAACTGGGGTCTAATTTTAAAAGTCATATTGATTTACAATATACAGTCAATGAGATATATGTGTATT